ACACCCCACCGGGACCGGGGCACATCCCACCGGGACCGGGCACACCCCACCGGGATCGGGCACATCCCACTGGGAACATCCCACCGGGACCGGGAACACTTCACTGGGACAGAGCTGGCAGCGGCTCACCCTCATCCCCGGGAGTGCTGCTGTCGCCCTCCTTTCCCCCGCCCCAGTTCTGTGCTCTCCCTCCGCGGCCACTGCTGCCCCCGGCCTCGGGCAGAGCCGCGCCTGGCTGCCCGCGGAGCTGCCCAGAGCCCCCTGTACCGGAGCAGAGACCAGCCCGGCACAAAGGCGTTTATTCAGARCAGGGCAGCGGTGGGGTAAGCGCCGTCCATCCTTCCCCGTGTCCCTGTGGGACAGGCTGACCCCATCCCGTTCCCTCCCTGCGCACTCGCTCCAGCCGCTCTCGCAGGCGCTGCTCAGAGCCGCGGTCACCGCCGGCTGGGGTGGGATGGCAGCAGGGGCRCTCTGGGTGAGGGATGGGAGCAGGCATGGCCTCTCAAGAACCGGCTGCTACTCCGGGTTATCCCAGCAGGATGTGGAGGTGGATCCGGGGATGGATCCCTAGCTGTGAGCCCCCAACCTGTGAGCCCACTCCAGCCCCTGGCATGGAGAGAGAGGACAGGAGGAGTCAGTGCCAGGGTGAGATGTCCAGGAAAGGATGCTCCACTACAGGAGGAGCTCTGCCTCCCGCTGCACCGTGTCCCCCACCCACACAGTGTCACAGAATCCCAGAATTATTTGGATTGGAGCCAATCCCATAAAGCCCATCCCCTTCCAACCCTCTGTCATGGGCACCTTCCACTATCCCAGGTTGCTCCAAGCCCTGTCCAACCTGGCTTTGGACACTTCCAGGGATGGGGCAGCCACAGTTTCTCCAGGCAGTTGCGCCAAGGCCTCCCCACCCTCACAGGGAACAATTTCTTCCCAATRTCCTATTGCACCCTCTGGCAGGAGGAAGCCATTCCCTCTTCTCCCATTRTTCTTGGCCCTTGTTCAGAGTCCACATCCACCATCTCTCTTGTAGGCKCTCTTCTGGTACTGGAGGTGTCCCCACTCCGATCCAAACCCCTGTGCTCTGTCCCTGGCACCAAGGAGGCTGCCTGAGCCATGATCCTGCTTGGACAGGGATTCTGCACAGCCGGGGATCCTGCTCAGCCAGGGCTGCTGCTCCTCACACTGATCCAGACCTGCAGCCTGGCYGGTTCTGTGCCTGGGCTCACGCCACAGAGCCAGCAGTGGGAAGCTTGGGAAGCAGCAAAAAAGTCCAAAATGTCCCTGTTCCCGCTGGGACGTGCTGCACTGGAGGGAGACAGAGGATGAAGATGGTCGAAGGCATAGCCAGCAGAGCTCAGGTGTAACTAAGAAGAGGCAGCAAATCCCCAGTGCAGGGAGATGATGGGCTGAGCTCTGGAGCTGAGTTAGGCTGGATCCACCAACCAGATCCCCCTACAGCAGCCCATGGAGCCAGACTGATGTGGGCAGCCTTCCCTCAGGCTCAGTCCACCTGGTACAGCCAGGAACAATGCCTACCATGTGGTACCCACTCACAAGCCTTTCCCAGGCAGAGGGGGATGCCACAGACCCTTTTGGATTTTTTAAAGACATTCTCATTTTTGCCTTTTTCTCTAGGATGGGGAAGGCCTCAGCTTCATGGCAAGTTCTGGATGTGAGTGAATACAACCCTGAGCCTTCACGTCTGCCAGTGGGGCAAGGACAGAGGTGGGAACAGCTGCTGCTTCATGGAGAAYATGTGCATTTTTAGGGTAGGGTACCTTTCTAGCAAATAAACCTCTTCTAAGGGAAGTTTTCTTGCAGTGTGCATGAAATGCAATTATTCCATGAGAAACAAATTAATATCATCCTAGCCTCTGGCAGGGGCAGCCATCTGGCAACCATTGCAGGGCAGAAGAGGGGGTGTGCAGGGACCCTTCCAGTCCCACATCCTGGGTGGGACACAGCAGTTCTCCTTTGTGGGGATCTCCATGGCAGCCGATCCTCTCTCTCCTTGTTCAGCCAGTTACTCATTAACTCACTTTACAGCCCGGGTAAACAGTGACAGCAGTGCCCAGGCTGCCTCCCTGCCCTGGGGCTRCCCCCCAGCCCATGGTCTGCTCCCCAGCCCTGCGTCACAGCAGACCCCACACAAGGCACAGCCACTGCCAAGCCCTCGTGTGCCCCATGCCCCAACCCACCCCCTCACCTCAACCTGGGGTGGGCACAGCCCGAAGTGGGGATGACCGTGTGTAGGATTGAGAGGGGGTTTGGGAAGGGAATGGGAGCAGCTGAAGGGTTTGTGGATGTTCAAACCCCTCCCAGCCTCTGCTGCCAGGGCTGAGTGGACAGAGCCCTCCCTGTGCTCACATCCACCCCAGGGACAGGGCGTTTGTGGCCAATGGAGCTGGTGCTGAGGGGAGGACACAGGTGGGGGGGCATTCCTGGCAGGGGAAGCCGGTCAGCGAGGGGTGTAGGATATTTGCCTGTGCAGCGAGCAGGAGAGTTTGGTCCAGGAGACATGAGGCTGCTCCAGCAGAGGCTCTCCAGGGAAGGCCTGCAGCCTGGGGTGCCCAGGGCACCCAATGTGGGCTGTGGGACAGTGGGCAGGCTGGAATCCGGCCATGATGATGTTTGGGAATTAACATCCAGATTATTCCCACCCATCCGTGATCTCCTTCCCAGCTGGCACGCCTCGAGTTCGTGATCACAATGCAGGTGGGGAGCTGGAAAGCCAGAGACAGCCGCTCCTTACCGAGTCAGTCCTGCAGCTCCAGGCAGGACACGGCAGGAGGAGCTTTGGTGCCTCTGCCAGGGAAGCAGCGGCCGCTGCCCAGGTGGAGCAGGACCCTCCTCTTCACRCCCGCAGCCAGTTGGGAGAGCTGCAGCTGCACGTCCCTCTGCCAGCAGGAGTAGAGCAGTGGGTCTAGGAGGGAGTTGCCCAGCCCCAGCAGCCAGAGGAAGTTCTCGATGACTTTGTAGGGGAARCACTCAGGGCAGACCATCTGCACGACGCCGGCGATGAAGAAGGGCAGCCAGGAGAGGGTGAAGCAGCCGATGAGCATGGCCACCGTGCGCATGGCCTTCATGTCACTGGTGGTGTGCGGTGGAGGACAGCTCCCCCCCAGCCCCGCCTGCTCCACCTCCTGGATGTGCTGCACGTGCACCGAGGCGATTTTCAGCATGTCACAGTAGAGGTAGAGGAAGAGGAAGAGTGAGGGGAAGAAGCCCAGGCAGAACATGGTGAGCATGTAGGAGGGGTGGAAGACGTTGAAGAAGGAGCATTTCCAGTGGTTAGAGACCTTCTGGAAGCGTGGGATGAGGACCGGCAGGAAGCCAATGATGGCAGCAACCAGCCAGAGCCCCACCAAACTCAGCCCGACCCGCGGGCCTGTCACCAGCTGGAAATAGTGGAAAGGCTTCCGGATCGCCAGGTGCCTGTCACACGCAACCAGGATCAAGGACAGGATGGAGGCAGCAGAGGAGGAGGTCACAAAAGCCATTCTCAAGATGCAAAAGTTCTGGGAAGGACAAATGGGCTGGGAAAGCTCATCCACGGCCAGGCCCATGACTGTAAAGCCAACCATGGCATCTGCAAAGGTGAGATTGAGGACAAAATAGAGCCCCTTGGAGCCGCTCTTCTGGATGTGGCAGAGCAGTACAATGGCCACCAGCCCGTTGGCAGCAATGATGAGAGAGGCCAGCATGGCGAGGATGGTTCCCAGGGCCCAGCTGGCCATGGCTGTCCCCTCTGGGGCAAAGCACAGGGGTGGCATGTCCCCAGCATGATTCTCAGGCATTGCTCACCTGGGGCCTCTCAGCAGGTGCAGCTCACAGCAGGTTCAGTCCCTCACCCTCTGGGCAGCAGYGGRASCCCTGAGGTCAGCAGGAGCCCYRAGGTCAGCAGGAGCCTGTGGAGAAGCAGGAGCCCTGGAGTCAGCAGGAGCCCCAGGAGCAGTGGTGTCTCTCAGGGAAGCAGAGCTCTGCCAGCAGCTGCCCACGGAAGAGATCGCTGGGCTCGCAGCACCCGCTGTGCGCACAGAGGTCACTCCCCTGCAGCCACGTTTCCAGACAACCCTGGAGRACAGGGTGAGCAGGGAGCACCTGGGCAGGAAGCTGCCACGGTGGCACAAGGGGCGGTGGCCATCCCCCCGGGCACCAGGGCCTGGGAATGGGGACAGGCACAGAGAGYTCCCAATGCTCAGCACAGCTCGTGGGGCTCCTGGGGGTCACTGCCAGACCCGGGACAGCTGGGACCAAGGGAACACCACTGACCCCTTGCTGGAGCAGCAGCTGTGAAGGTGACTTGGTTACGATTGGGAAAAGCACTGACRAGGGATGTGTGCTCAGACATAGATGGAGAAACATCTGCCAGCCTGGGAAGCTACATGCACAGTTGGGAACCTGCAGTCCCCTTAACAAGCACAACAGGGAGCCCACGGCATCCCTGGGGAGCCCAAAACTKAGGAATTGCTGGAACCTGCAGGGCAAAAATCCACCACAATCTGCAGAGGTGCCTCAGGCGCAGGCAGAACACAGCCAYGGCTCTCCAAGAGCTGGTGTCCTCTGCCCACTCATGGATCCATGCAGAAGGAACTGGCTACTGCCTAAAGGGGCCTCTCTCTGTCCGAGAGCTCCCCCTTCACATCCCTTCGGGGCCCCAGGTGCACCAGGCTGGCTCCAGGCTCCCTGACACAGGTCATATCCAAAGATACRTCAGTCACCATCGACCAACCTCAGAACAGGGAGAGTTTAATGAACTGCATCGTGATACTTCCAATGAAATATATGTGAGTGCTACCAACAGTAAAAAATAATTCTATATAGACACACCTGCTTTGCTAATCATGAGTGTATTTACCTCACTGATAGTAACTTGTAACAAAGAAATTAATGGAAACAAAGGCTCTGCATCCTGGTGTTCCAGAATTCCACCATATTCCTCACATCCCCCAGGGTGGGCTGACCTTCGCAGGGTGTGACAGTGACAGCTCCAGCCACCATGCAAAGTGTCATAAGCCTCTTCTGCCTTGTGAGGTGGAAAAATCCAAGCTGCCAGCAAGCAGGCAGGACTGAGCYTTCCTCCATCAAACAGTAACCTGGGCAGAGGCTGAGTGTGGGATGCAGGCAGGAGCGGGGAAGGAGCAGCAGACTCCGGGATGGGGACACTGTGGAGCAGGGAGCCCCTCAGGAACACCTGGGCTCTGCACTGCAGGTGGCCACAGAAGGACTCTGGTAGCCATGGGAAGGGTTCTGGTCATCTTACACACCCTCTACTTTTGTTTGCCCAGGAAGACATTTGGGGAGCCTTTTTCCTGATGCTGGAGAGGCTCCAAAGCCCACAGAATGAGATCAAGGACAAGGAAGAAGTGGCAGGACAGTGAGGAGAARGTACAGGCTGGAGCCAGTGTCCCCCTGTCCTGGTTTACTGGCCATTTTTAGCGTCAATGTATCAGGACCACACATATTTCTACCTAAACACCCGGGGAGGGCTGTGACTGGTTTCCACGGAGCCCTCCATGTCCAAGTTGCACCCCGTGGACCTTCCTGTGGGTGCAGAGGAGCAGGTACAGACTGCTCAGGGRTGCTCCCAGGCACAGCCTGCTGAGCTGAGAGCCCTGCTCAAGCAAGGATTTCAGTCCCAAAGCTCGGTGGAGTCACCTTCCCCACATCCGCAGCTTCTACAGCCACCTCTGACTTTTTATCACCAATTCTCTCCCTTTCTTCCCAGCTGGATTTGCCTGAACACCCCTTGTGACTTGCACAGAACCTCAGCTCACAGCAGGCCCAGCCAGGAGACACTGCTGCATTGCAAGGGACCTTCACCCAAACCAGAGCCACCCCACAGGGGAAAGGGAGMAGGAAGTAAGAACCAGTTGCTTTCATTGTCATAAACACTAAAAAATAATAAAAAACCTCAAGATGATGACCAAAATATCCTGCTGGATGTTCTGCTCAGCATCAGAGCCACCATTTKCAAGCTGAGCTCACCTTTAAACCACTGTATCTAAGCAAAAATGGTAACTACCAATAATATAACAGGAATTTAAGAGACTGAGGTTTGGCAAAACTGAGCTGAGAGGGTAACAGGGTCATTTTCTGACACTTAAAAACAGGTTTAGAAACACCCTCTACTGTAATGAATACTACAGATTGCCTTTAAATACATATATATGGAGAATAAAGGGATCTATAGTGCAGTGAAATCCATCTCCTGTGCTGTCCGAGGGCAGACATTCCTGCAGTGAATGAGCACAGACCCAAACTTGAGCCATCCAGTCAATAAATAATTTAATGAAGTTACAGTTCTGCAATACACATGACAGCGGCACCTTCCTGAGCCCCAGCCTCGTCCCGCGGGCATGGGAGGACACCCCACACCTGCCAACCACGAGCCACAGTGCCCCAAAAGCCACTGGAACGCAGAGATCTTCACAGAAGATATTCCTGCAGGCCCAGGCACGGGGACACCTCCAGGAGGGAAACATGCGGCTCCCAGCGATCGCAGGCAGCTTGTGCTCCAGGGACCATGCACTCGGGGAACAGCCCAGCCCACAGGGACCAAACGCCACGACATGGGGATGGTGGGATGCAGAGGGASGGGGCAGCACAGCTCTGCTGCCAGCCCCGAGGTGACTGGTGAGATGAAGGCAGCTCTCAGAATGGGAGGCGCTTCAGCTGCTCRTATGTGATAAAAAACTGAAGGGAACGTCAAGGAATCAGGACAGACGTGAGGCAGCTGCATGGCAGGACAGACAGAGCATCCAGCTGGGCTGGACACCCACCTGGGGAGCTCCTTATGCAAGCAGCACACCCCGAGCAGCCCAGGGAAAACAGAGCTGGGGCCCTGGTGCTGCCAGGAAGGGGGAGATGGACCCAGAACAAACCAGCCTTGCCCAGACCCCTGAGAGAGAGAGGGGACTCCAAGCCTAGAATGGGAACTCTTTACAGTAAATTCCCYACCCCATTTCAGCAGACAGACTGGGCTGGGTCAGCACACACAGCACTGGTCCCGCAGTCRGTGCTGCCTCAGCAGAACATTCCCTATAATTCCCTCCCAAACAGGAGCTGATCCAGGAACCCCCCACAGACCAGGCCAGGGAARGTCTCAACCGAACCCTCATAGGTTCTATGGGAACCATAAGAGCCGCTTATTAGGGTCCCCCGTGCACCCCATTGGGGTGTCATCCCTGCCTTGCCCTTCCCAGCTGGGTTCTCCCCTTGTCCCACTCCCACTGTCCCCRCTYCCAGCAGCACAGAGAAGGATACAATGATGTTCCAGGGACCCAGACGAAGCCAGTTGGGCCAGAAGCCTTTGTAGAGTGCAAAGAAGCCCTCACTCTTCCATGTCTGGGAGGAGAGACATTGGATTAGRAGACACACTGGAGCCCTKCCCATGTCCCCAGTGCCACACGTGACACTCTGGCCCYGTCCAGCTGCTGCAGGGAGCAGACAGACCTGTGCCAGTGCTGTGTGTGAAGCATCATTTACAGTCTCTGAACCCAATTAACTGCATCATGGCCTAAATTTTGTCCCAGGAGGCTGGGAGGATGCTCAGGATGACAGTGACCTCAGGGACGTGACTCTGGGCCCTTCYCTGTCTCGCTGATGACACCTTGTGYCACTGCARGCTCTCACTGCTCCCATCAATGTGGTGCTGGAGGTGGCCAGCCTCCCAGGACAGAAGTGTGCCCACCTCTCCCCTCACCTTCACGAGGCCATCCAGAGTGCCCTTGTAGAGCTCAGTGCTGCCCACGATCGCCCGCTGGTTCATCATCCGCGTCCGCACCACGTCCACAGGGTTGGAGGCGATGGCCCCCGCCAGCCCGCACGTGAAGCTGGAACTGCACACACCAAATCAGCCAGGGACAGCCTTGGACATGGCCACTCCTGCTCACACAGGCACAAAACACCTCCCACTGGATTTCATCAAAGGCATTTAGCAAGGAACATGAGCTGCACTGCCTGCTCCTACCTGGAAAAGGGGCAGAGGCAGGACCTGGGCCACCACAGGACCCTGGAGAGCTCAGGGGAGGGAAATGCTCAGCTCAGCTAATCCACACCCTTATCTGCACCCACAGCTGGTTCCACRGGGCATCTGCAGCCCTGCAAGGGTCCCAGGTGCTGCCCAGGTGACACAGACCAGAAGGGACCCTCAGGGTGTGTACATCCTTCCCACCAGAGCAAACATTTTGGGAAGGAGAGGAAAGCCAWAGGCAGCAGAAGGGAGCACGGAGCTGCCAGGCTCCCCCACCAGGGGGGTATCTAGGGCTCCTCACCCTCATCTCTAGCCGGCAAACCCCATGGAAGGACTGCCRCACCTCCAGCTGAGGAACAGAAACATGGAGGTGAAAAAGAAGTTTGGCATTCTCTGACCAGCCTTGCCCAGAGCAGGCTGACTGCAACACCTGCTCTGGGTCCTGTCAGSTCCATGTCTGTTCCTCTTCAAAGGCTCTTACAGGATGGGCTGGGAGGTGTCAAGGTCTGGACAGGTAAGSACCAGGGACTGGAGCAGCTTTGGAGGGACTGTTACAGGTAGCACATGCAGAGCTCCTGCCTGGTTCATWGCAGGGCACAGACATAGAGCAACAGCATTCCTGTTAGCAGCCAGCTGAAACKAGGCTGACATTTCATGTCACCAAAGGATTTCTGTCCAGTCTTTCCCCAGAAGTGTCTCTGGGATGTGGGGATGGATCAGCAGTGGCCTTGGCASTGCTAGGGGAATGGTTGGACTCAATGAGGTCTTACACAACCTTAATAATTCTACACCTGCTGCTGTCTCTGAGCTCCCCAGGTGACAGAGCACATCCCTTGGAAACAACAACCCTGTTCCCTGCAGCTYCAGAGCCCTCGCTCCATGAGTGGCCTCTCCCCAATCCCACCTGGCT